TTGCACATTTGAGGGAATAAATTGCTTTGTAAAGGACCGGAGTCCACATTGTCTATTCCACTCTGTGTTCCTTTGCCTTTAAATATGTTTGTTGAAGACCTGTCATCTGTAGTTTATTTTATTTCTCTTCAAGGCCTGCTCATTTCAAAGTGTCTGGTGGCGAGGCTCAGCCGCATGGTTTGTGTCCGGAAGTGAACATGTGGTAGTGTTTAGCTTTGTAATGCCGTGGGTTTTGCGGACGTCTTGAGGGAGATATCGCATGGAAGGCAACCATAATAGTGATTCTGGGCCAGCAAACAGACTCCATGTCCAAGTGTTGGAGTTGGAGATTCCCAAGGGTATACCTCAGTCCAAGGCCCACAGAGAAGGCTTAAAATGGATGCCAAGTCATTTTTAATAAGCCAAATCTGTTTTTACTCAAACATTCATGTTTTTTCAGTCGAACCAATATCCATTTGGTGACTTCCTTTGGCACAGGGCGCGCTTTAACTCCCCCACAGCCAATGGCATGTGTAACAGTTTCACACATCAGGGACTTGCCTTGATGTGGTTCAAAATCATCTTTCCTTCGTTTGTTAAAATGTGATTTTCAAACTGGCGTTCTTCTCAAACCTTTACACCCATTGTGGGTTCAAATATTACGACAAATGTGAAATACTAACTATACAGTATATGATTAATCGTTACATTAATTTTCTCAAATTTGAATGGCTCCTTTTTCCCTTTGTCGACCATCTGGTCCCAAGAATCAACAATGCCGAAGTTAAGCCCTCCTTAATACAGTCTGGAAATTAATATTGTACTGTATGTTTATATATATTTTAACTGAGAGACTAACATAGTAATATATCTCCATGTGATACGACTTTATATTGCCATTGTATGTTGACACTGGTTTTAGGGAAACCAGCGAGCTGCCAAAAGACCGTCCCACATTGTGCCCAACGGCTCTTTACTGATGAAATGTTCTAAAGAGTTCAAATATACGTCTGTGCACAACGGATGGTCTTGTTGTCAGAGTATTACATTTTAGCCACTGAGCGATTCGTAACGCACGTTTAAATGCTGGCAATGCATTTGATCAGCCGTTTTGGCACGATACTGTGGACAGGTTAAGCTTCCTTGGCAGACAAAAAAAACTAAGTGAATGACGTACATTCTGAAAGTTCCATTTCAACTAATTTCACATTTTCTTGGCCTGTTTTGATTATTATGCCTCCACGCCATTGACTTGTGTGGCCAGAAGAATTTGTTTTTAGGTGGGCAAATGTCAAAGTGACTGCAACCATGACAGGGTCCTGGCAGATTCTGGGATCTCGGACACATTAATATAAGTGTGGCAAGACGGAGGGATGACAAGAACCGTCATCTCATTCGTGCTGTTTCCAATTTTCTAGAATTGAAAGTCCATGCACTTTTTTTCATCATTGCCCCAGAACACTCCTTGAACTGTGGCAAAAACTATGTAAAACCATCAAATATTTTAAGTGTTTGCTCTGTTATGTTTATCTACATTTGTTATTTACATAAAACACACAATTCATGAAAATATACATCATTTGATTCGTACTTAAATACCTTATTTGATTTATTTCTGTATTATTGCTAGTTTTAGAAGCTTCTTTGAGCTACATGATTTCATATCTGATATCTATTCCCTAATGTATAAAAAGATTTCCTTAAACAAATGCATTCATTTAAGTATAGATTTCCTAAAATGATATTTTACCTAATGCATTTTGTTAATACTTTTTGATGTACTGAGCAAAGCTTGAATCATAATCAAGTACATTTAACTTAAGTTAGCTGTTGGCACAGTCATTACAATGACCTTGGAATTAAACTAACATTAATACCAACATGCAGGGCAATTAATTCAAATATAGAACAGTTTGTTGTTCGAAATGTTTGTTTCTCCTTCGTGCGTTTTTTGTTGCAGATTCCCAGACAACATTTTGTGCCACATTGTCTGAGAACCTTTTGTTTGGATAAACTACGTAGTTTGTTTGGTTCTCTGTTGGTATTTGTGTGTCCATGTGTGCGTGACGGTGACATTATTGTCTGTGCCGCTGTGTTCCCGCCCATCATGTGGCAAACATGTGTCATACAAAACCAGCTGGAAGATATCTGATTGCTGATGTGCACCTCTATTTAAGAACAATACACTTTTTTGGAACTGAAACTGGATCTACTCATGATGCCAAGTGAAGCCGATGATATTTCAAAAAACTCATCTTGCTGTTTGTGGCCAACCATCTAGTTGAAATATGCCACTCAAAGTCCTCCTCCCCACTCACCTGCGACTCAGACCGGTGTGGCATCTAGACCGCGTGCGACCCCGCCGGGGCCCATCAAGTCCACACGCAGTGCTTGGAAGAAACATGTGGCATAGCTGAGTCAGCCCATCAAATAGCAGACCAGACATCAGCCAACCGATGCACTACTCATTGCACAGCGGGTGGAGCTCTGAGCTGTATCGGATGGTATCAGAAAGGAAAGTTAATAAATGCACTGTTTTCTCTGTTTAATTTGACGTAGCATGGAGTCCTGGCTGTAAGGGCAAAGACCGCTGACTCACTGAAGAAGGGCTGCGAGCACCCTGCTGAGAGCGTGAGGTAGTTCGGGGAGGGACTCAAGTAGCAACAGCGGAAAGAGGACAATTTAGTCCCGCAAGCAGCCGGGTTTAATTTGCCCTCTGTCTGTAGGCCATTCTCTGAGGGAGATCATTGTTTCCATTTGTTTTATTTTTGCTGGCTCGCCCAGTTTCTTTGTCCAAGCCACTCGCCATATAAGAAATCCAGAAGGATTCCTTAGGCCTCACTGGTTACGGACTCAGTTTATGTGAGTCCAGACAGTCTGGCTATACGTTTGTCATTGGATTTATTTATGAGGTTATTAATAATTAATTTGTGTCTCTGTCTTTTGATTTGTTCAGATGAATTCAGAAATGAAATTGCTGACTGTGTCACATGAAGATTTCTTTTGTCCAGCCTTAAATTAAAGGCATCAACAAAGCCTAAACCTGGAGATAAGGTTTATATTATATTTTTTCAATGTAGGTGAACGCATTGGTTTTAGATTGGCAAACTATGTAAAAGGTATTTTAGAACGAAACCACTGTAACTCCTATTCAACTGAGGTACCAACTAAAGAGGGCATCTGTGGCTCCGATGTCGAGCGGGTCCTCCTCTAATCTCAAGACAACCAGTTCAAACCATATCAAGTCCATTAACATTCAAAAGGCACGTTATTGAAACTTGTCAAAATGGCAAATCTTCTCTTTTATTATATCAATAGTTACACAAGTCGACGCCCTTAGATGTATTGATTTCACTGCATTCCTTTGATAAGTGAGTAATGCTCGTAAGCGGTGACACAGTTTGAATCCTGACAAAGATTAAAGCTAAAATACTGTCACATCAAAGTGATGTAAATAAAAGTGTGTGGTAAATTATTCTCAGTCGTCAACGTTACAGGCACTAATCAAAGGGTTGCGCCCTGTTTTTGGAGAGCAAAGACCTCGCCGTGTTGCTCCCATTAATGTATTGGCTGATGTGCATCCCTTAGCTGCGCTGAGTTTGACGGCGATACAGCACTTAGTCTACAAGTGTCGAGTGCAGAGTCTTGTCAGGCTCTGGGGAACATCTCCAGATGTTGACAGGAAATCAAACCATAGCGATGGTACATCCTTGAACCATTTTTACCCCTACTTAATACTGCAAACAACTGCATCCCTGATGTAATGTCTTGACTCAAAGCATTGGAGTTAGGCTGGTGCCTTCAGCATTTCTTCTCCTGGCTGCCCAGGAGATGTTGCCTTTTTGATTGTTTCTTTAAATATGCAAGCCAGTGCTGGGGGAGCAGATTGTTTGTTCTAGATTTCCCGGGAGATTTCCACCTTGGGCTCAAACAGAGCACTTGTGATGATTAGCAACAGCGGGTGCTGCCTCTCCCATAAGCCATTGGGAGGAGAGGGAAAGGTCCAAGGCGTCTTGTTTCTCTGTTATTAACTCATCTTCAATACTGTGATTTCAATTTGAAATGTTGACCTCTTGCTCCTGTAAGTGGGCATCTATGTTTTCAGAGCTTGATTCTATTGAAGTGTGCCTGAAGAGTAATACACGCCGATATGTGGTGTGTCTCCAGAGTGTGGCCTCCGTAAGGTCTCCATCATGACAACAAAGGTCCCTTCATTCTTAGACGACTATGGTATTGTGTCCAGCCGTGTAACAGGGACATGATACCATTTTCTATGATTGTGGGGGGTAAAACAATTATCTCCTTGGTTCTGCCGAGTTCACAAACACGGCCTAAGGGAAGGCACCGTGCTTATCAACCATCTACCCGGCGTCCCAATGACATAAATGCTGGCACGGGCAGACACATGAAGAGCTCTGATAGTACAGCTGATGCATTTTATGTATTTCCATTGTGTTGTGGAAGGAGGCTGTCATCAATCACCTCAATGTTCTACCATACGTGCTGTGGCTTTACGGATGCAAGGCCGGACAAAATAAGACAACATATTGCAACGTGTCCATTCAGTTTATGTTGGCAATTTGTTGTTAATTGTGTTTTTCCTTTCTGATACAACAAATATTGTATTTGCAATTTTTTACGCTGTGGTACATGATATTCATGTCTTCAAAAAGCACCTTCCTGTTACCTATCTATAAATAGATGAGTATTGTACAATCAAAAAGCTGATGAAATTACGTATCAAACAATCTCTCTCCAGCTTATGCGTCCATGTCCGTTGATGTATTGGGATTCTCATTTATGTTGATTGTTTGCTTAACTTTGTTGTGGCAAATGTTGTGATACAATTTTAGTCATACATTTATGGGGAGGGGTTTTCCACATAATGTTAGTCTGCCTCTACAGTGCTGAAAACTGCCAACGTAAACTATTGACTAAAGTGAAATGTACCATCCTGCTACATTGCAAATCATTAAATGCTAATGAAGTAACACAAGTTCTTTTTTCTTTTCATCCTGCAGTGAAAAAAGATTTGAAAGAGGAGAACGATGACAGAATGCAACAGTTCAAGAAAAAGGCAAAAGAGCTTCGGATCCTGGATTCCAAAACTGCCCAGAATCTGTGTAAGTAAATACAGTCGTGGTCTTTTGTCGGGTATGAACTGGCTGTAACCGCCGGTTTAACACTATTAGTTCAGGATGCATTGTATTCTTTAAACCATGCCCTTCAATGTCAGAAACGTCAGTGTTATTTTCCATGACACCTGGGGCCTTTTTATTCCCCCGTGAACAGCTCAACAAAGCTGTTTGTTGGAAACAAACAGGGGAAAGCCATCAATACTGATAGTGTTTTACTAAGCCCATTGGGGAAATGTTTTCTTGGCAGTTGTTTAGCGGTCAGCACAAGTACGTATAGATTGTGTCCAAGTTCTGTCTGTTATCATGTGTAAAGCAAATTCCTACTAGGATTGAGCACTAATGCTACCTGTAGTTGTTTTTTTAATTCCCAGGAGCTTAAGTGGACTCATTGTGTTGCTGATGATTGTGCATTTTTTAACCTCACCTTCCGAGTGCCCCTTTTTGTTGTTGTCAAGGTAGATGGAACCGCTTTGCGCCGTGGGATCATTTCAGGTTCAATGAAAATTATTTGTAAAAACATTCTGCCTTAGACTTTCACTTGCACCCGTGCACCTCCTCTTTTCTGTGAGAACCTCCTTGATCCCACATACAGGGAATGTGAATTTCAATTTATTAGACAAAAAGGGTTGACGCGCTGCGGGCAGCCTTGTTTTGATTGGAGAGCCCTTCTCATTGTTTCCTCAACTCTTGGAATTCATCTGCAGCCTCGGTATCCTTTACCTCAGTGATGCAATGTTGAATACCAACACCTTATGAAATATGCATGTTATATTGAAGATTACGGGTCACCCTTCTTGCAACCCTTATCCCACCATCGGTGCCTGTCCATATTTTCCGTACTTTTCTCCTTCAAAGTAAGAGTAAAGAGGTAGGCAATTCATCTATTCTTTTGACATGACGGATTGAAGGCAACGCCCCCCTGGGGGGGAAAAAACAAAGCCGCCTTCCACTCCCCACCAACAACAGCTCAGTTTTTACCACGCCTGAATTACGTATAGTGGTTGTAGAATTTAATGCCCAAACCTAGAGAGGGGACAAGCCTGGGCTGTGTTTTTACAGAATCCAAGCTCAGAGGAGGAGATTGTGAATTTATTCAATTAGACGCGCCACTGTCCCTCGCAAGCTCAAGTCTCCTAAACCTGCCGTGCAAATCAAATTGCACTATTTCTTCCGTCTCCAGTTAGCGTTAGAGTGTCAATGGCGCATCATTTAATCTGTAGAAGTAAAGTTACCTGGACAAAATGATCATGAACTGAATGTAAGCCAATAAAGAAAACATGATTGGAGAGTAATAATAATTCATGAATGTGTGAAACATATAAATAATACGCTGTCCTCACAACCTCGCTGGTCATTGTCACTAGTTTTAAAGTATTGTGTTCAATCAACACAAAACCATAAGAAACCAATAAATACTGTATATTTAGTATTTCCTCCGTTTGAAAAATGACCAACTCTTGTTTGGTTACCGAGTTAGATGTGAGAATATGCCGGCTCTGCACGGTGCTTTCCCACCCACTAAATGTTTGCAACCGACAGTGAGTAGCACCTCGGTTTTGACGATGAATTATGTCCTATACCTCCTTAACAGCATGATGGATCTGGTCAATTCCGATCAAAATGACTGTTAACTGTCTACGCTGTAGTATGCTTTCATCTTGGCAGCGGCCTAATGGATGGATTCTCCAAATTATAAAAGTAAGCATCGGCAAAGTACAGCTGTGACAGGGACTTACAGTAGGTGTTCATGATGATGCTGTGCGCGGATTTTCTTTTTTTCTCTTTTGAGATGTGATCCAAACACTTGCAGGTTGCACATGGCAGAGACATTTGACATGTTTGTGCCACGGCTCCATGGTAGTGGCCACATGCGGCCAATGTTTCCATATTTTAGTTCTCCGTAGCAGCCGCATGAACAAGAAAATGACAATGACCTACAGCTGTACCAACGGTCCTAAAATATCTTTGTAATGTGTACATTAGAGTTGTGTATTTATCAAATTAACATTTAAGTATGCTTCGGGTGAACGAATTCCTCTGCACTGTAACAGAAGTAAAGTAGAGTACGAGAACAAGCTAAGGGATGATTATAGATTGCTTGGGTGTGTGTGTGTGTATGCAAGTGTCTGCGCGCACACTCATTTAATTGCACGTGTGACAAAGTTGATAGGTGTCACTGCCGTCTCTGATTACAGCCTCAGCAGGGTGGCCTTTGGATTTGGCAGGAAGCAAAGATATTTGTAGAAAATCTCACCTCCAGAATGCAACGGGTGGAAAAAGCACGTGGTCCCTCACAACTACACAGCAAAGATGTACCGAAGCATCCACAACCCCATGCGATGCTTGCAGAACCCTCTAAGCTAGACCCCATCTTCAATTTTGGTGTATGTTGATATTGATGGTTTAGAGACGGGGATGGGTAGCGGGAGAACAATAAACTTGTCAAAGAGGGTTCGTTGAAGGCAGGACTCAAATGCAGAGTTTTTTTCAAAAACAAAAAGGGTCTTTAATAGTTAAAAGACTACAAAAAGGCACAAACGAGGTCAGGGAACAGGAGACAGGAACCTGGACAAGGACATGGGTTTCTGACAGGTAACATTTAGTAATGACGCCACAAGTGACAACAGACACACATGTCACACGTGCCATTTTTTTTGGATAATGATTACCACTTGCAGCTTTTACAAAGAACGTCAGGCTGAGAGTTGACTTGCGAGTAAGCCGTGTTGATACCTAATTGTAGCTGTCGAAACGAGTTGAGACGGCTGAATAGAATAGTTATTTTCGTCAACAAAAGACATTCATTTAGACTATTATTTATATAAAAGATGGTTGCATTGCCTTGTAGCCACATGAGGTGGATTGTTTTCTTTTTGTTAGTGGATCATGTCCCAGTGAATGTGTTTTTAGAATATGTTAATTTCAGTCTTGAGGGAAAAAAAACAGTTGTGGATTCCTTTTGTCAAAATGGGATGGTTTGTATATGAAAGCAATATAGCCTCTCTCCATGCCAGCCAGCGTGGCATGTGGGCAGTATGTGTGTGGGCTGAGGCTAAGCATGTATCAGACATGCACTGTAATAGGGTACAGTGTTCTTTACTCATCTTAAGTACAGTGACTTCCCAAGGCAGCTTGATCGCGTTGCGTTAAACACCTATTTCACTTAAAAACCTATAGTGCTTCTGTAACCAAAGTCACTTGTGCAATTATATAATATACTATAAGATGTCATGTTGGTGGGTGGAGAGGCGTGGATGACCACACCGATCGTCCACACAACAAGCTCAAATTTAACTGCGGCTATAGATGGCAGCACAAGTTGTAGCTTGTAACTCTCCAGCTGCCGCTTCTACCCCGTCCGTATCGACTTTAGCTTGTAATGTACCACATATCCCAGGATTACCTTTGACAACTCTTCCCCCAGAGAACATTGTATCCAGCTGTTGGTTTCATATGGGGAGGATATAGGACATATTAAAGTGACGCAAATACTACATTCTACAGCATTCACACAACAAACAGGCATAACGGGGTCTCATTTGATGAAGAGCAGAGCCCAATCATGTCCCGCTAATGGGTCGAAAGAGAAAAAGACGGATATATTTATAGGCCAACTTCCTCTTCAGTTCTACAGTTCCGAGCCACCAGAAAGCGGACCCAGTGAAGCCATTAATGTCAATCTTAAGAAAATAGACCTTTATATTAAAACAAATAGCCGTGGAATGCCGTGACTATGTTCCAAGGAAAGGCAGTAAATAGCCTGTGTAATACAGAGTTCTACCCGGGAAAAGAATACGCTCAAGGAATTTGTTTGCTGTGCATCAAATACAGACGTCAGGTCCCACTGCAGCAGGAGAATAGCAGCTGTTCAGTGAGCCTCCTCCAACTCATTATCAAACCTCCACCTGTGACTTCCACCTGGATACACCATCAGCTCCAATCTTCACCGTACACACCCCACCCAGAGTGTGAAACACCCACTACGCCGTCTCCTGAGGCAAATTCAGTGTACCGCTTTGTATTCGACGGAGCCATGTAGCCCTCCCACATGACACCATTACTGCTCACCACTATTTACCGTTAATAATTATGTATATTATACTTTGTATGGCTGTGGCATATTTCTCTGTTGGTGGTAAATCCCGATGTCTTCCTACCCAATATTTGTAAGTGGGACACAAACTATCCTGGTGTGGAAAGTATATTTGTTTTTCCAAGTGACACGTTAGGTCTGTGGTCATTTTGTCTGAGGAGCAATGCCGGAATGTCTCTTTGAACCCTGCGGTCTAATGAAAAAAGGGGCAGGAAATGACTCTCTTCTCTCTCTATCACAACAGCTATTTTCTTGGGCTCGTTCCGCCTGCCTTATGAAGAGATCCGGGACATTGTGCTGCAGGTGGATGAGGAGCGACTGAGCGAATCACTCATCCAGGTAAGACTGATGTTCACTGTGGTGTGTGTTATTTTTTCCCCAAACACACTCACTTTTTTTTTTTAATAAAAAATGAGTGTGCCTGTGTGTCAGCTATTAAGAGGTTTTTCTTGGTATTTGTGTGGGGGGAAAAAAAAAATATATATATATATATATATATATATATATATATATATTTATATATATATATATATATATATATATTTTTTTTTTTATTTCAGTGACTGGCAGCTAGCTTGGCAACCCCATTTTACACCAGCCATCGTCTGTTTGGCACCCGTCCTTTACCCCATTCTCCTGCAGACCATAGAGACCCCCCCCATTCATCCTCTTATAATGGATGATGATGGACAACGCTTTGCAAAGTCTCCCCAACTCCACCCTCCTTTCCTCTTGCTTTTGTCTAAGACCATAATTGATGAGATTCCTAAAGGCTACATGTTTTGTTTTGCTCCCAATTCATTTTTTTTAGTTTCTCTTGTCTCAAAAATCATTAATTGAAAGCAGGACGGGTGCATCTGACGTAGAGATGCATCCCTTGAGAGCGTGAGCCTCGACTGCATTTATATGAGCTGCGATGTCCATTAAAGCAGTGCTTTTGGATTTCGCTTGTTTCATTTCAGAAGTAGGTGTACATTACAAGAGTGAGCTGCAAATAGAAGATGTCCTTTCAATACAATGGCATATGGCAATGATACACTCTTCTTGTGCAGTAATGGTATTTCTTCCCACCAGCGGTTGGTCTCCTTGAAGGGAAGCTTTCATCCTTGAGTTCAGTGGTCTTTCTTTTCTTTACAAAACCAGAAGTACACATTACCTTTGCATTTATATGCAGTAGACCTCCTTTCCCACACCATTTTTACAAACACCTGCACAGGAGCAAGTCTGCTTAAAAAGGTGTTCAGGCAATATATATTTAGATTTCGCCAACCCTGCAGGACTGTTATTTTGAGCCTTGATAACCTTTAATTGGCTATAAATCTGACATAAAGTACAAAGTGTATGTTATGAGATGGCAGAGCCATCTTTGCTGTGTGAGGTACAGAGGTAGTTACGGTGTTGACCTTTTCCCACCTTCAGTCTATCTGTAGCGAAATGGAAATAGTTAATATCTGCCAACAAGAGCGCTGTGTCCCCAACACATCCCAATCAGGGCGCTGTTGCACACATGTAGGCTGGTTGCTCACATGGAAAAGAGCAAATCAATCCTCCATCAGGCAGCTAACATTGAACTGACTTTCCTCGAGCTACCGGGACTGAGCTGGTTTCAATACTACCGAAGTTCACTTAACAAAGCACCAATAGACAAATTGAAACAACAAACCGAGCCACTCCATTTGTTCTCGTATCATTCCCGTGATGCGGTTACTTCGGCACATCCGCTGTATCCTTCAATTTCCTTTCGTCCATAGTTTAACACAAAACACATTTCAATCAATGGTGTTGGGGATATGAGTGAGAAAAACACATTTTGTATTTATCATAATAACCATTCTCCCAAATGCTGCTTCAATGTCCCTTTTTGGTAAGTGTGCAGAAGGACAAGGAGGCTGGTAAAATAAAGGGAGGGCTCAAAAAAGCCCCCCGAGGACAAGTGTTGGTTAGCATGAGCATCTGGGATCCAAGTGAATGTCACGGGGTCCAGTGGGAGGACCAGCTGAGTTAACGTATTGGCGCAGAAGGAGCACACATCTGGGATGCTTGTCGCTGATGGGTAGATAATGATGCTGAAGACTGACTAAAGATTGGACTGGACAATGTTTGCAACACCAACAAATGTATTGTTATTAATATCAGTATTAGCGGTAGTTTTATTAGTATTTTTATTAATGTTAATGTCACCCCTAGTTATATTTATACCCCTTCAGTATTTAATATTTCACATTATGTTGAGTGTTTGGTGTCAATTGATCAGAAAAAATATAGTTTACTTTTAATAAATTGATTTAACAAATGTGTTAGTATAGTTTAATTATAGCATATATACTTGAGTGATTTTAATATGCATTTCTGTAATGCTGGTGGCTGTAACCCCTTTCCGAATGTCAACATGTCCACAACTCAAATTATTGAATTTTGGCTCAGGTGGCCTTTACGTCATATTTAACTCGGTTGTTGTATTTGTGTTTGCCTAACAAGATGGCGCTTTTACAACAGCATAAACATTTAGAAACTCAATGTACTGTCATGTGAGGTACCACTTGGCAAAAGAAAGTTTAGATTTGTATGTACATGAAAAGGTCAGACTTCATACTTGAGAAAAAATGATATGATTATGAGCTAAAATCATGCAAAAATGAGCTCTGAAATTAAACGAGTAAGTCTGAGACGATACAGTTAGAGCAATACGGAGGTACCGGAGGGGAGCAAAGAGACTCCCTGCTGGGTGACACAGTCCTGAGTGTGGGCTCCATCTGCACTCTGCTTATCCACACTCATTATGCTGATTAATCGCCCTACACCACCCACTCTCAGCCACACGCCAATCACCATTTATCCACATGGACAACTGCACACCCATACTGAGTAGGAAGATGTGTCTGCATGGCTTGGGACATACTAAAAGGAAATGCATTTACTATTTTGCTAATGTTAGAAGGATTGCACCTGGAATAAAAGTGAATGAATAACAGAGTGGAAATAGTGAAAGAAAGAAAGTTCTAAATTTATTAGAGGGTATATTATGTAAGACTAAATCTACATTGCCTCTGATCAGCCATTGTTTAATCACTGTGGTTTTGTATTTTTAAGATACCTCTCACAGTATTATACAATCGGAACATATTAAATGTTTGGTATTAATGAACATTCCAACCTTGAAAAAGGTGATACAGTATTACACCAGACAGCTCCACCAAGATCTCCTGTATTCATGAACTATAATGAAGAGCTCTGATAAGCAACGGCTCTGTTTTAACCGATCACATGTACTTTATATTAGACAAAACATACAACTCAGCCAAGATCAAAGATATGTTATTGGATTATTGTGCAAAGATGAATGACAGGCAAGCGGGTTGTTGATACATTGAGGGAATAGCGAAAATGGAAGCAAGCAAGAGGTGTTCATACCGCATCTAAATCTCTGTAACTCAATCTTATTATCTTCCATCTCCGTCGACAGGTCTAATGTAATGATTTGTCAGCAGAATGTGGCAGTGTGTTAGCCTTGAAGTACCCCTACAATGTGTCACCCTGGCATAGTGGATATATGGGAGTTGATTGGCTCTCCTTATTCTGCATTAGGGCCCATCAACGCCTCGGAGATGATGCACACATCCCGGAATGCTTGCAGACAGTCGCGGGTATCACCATTCATCCCGACTGCACATGAATCCACGCGTATTTCCATACCAATGTGACTGTTGTACAAACCCACACATGGAGAATGCACATGTGTAGATGCTGTTGGTGCCTTCTGCTTTACAGTCCCTGCTGAACCGTGTCAGTTATTATTCAAAAAATACATTCTTGTCAGAGCCATGCCATTTCTTACTCTTTCTGTCTTCAGCTTTTTGCCTCTAATACTCCTAGTGGTGATGGACAAAGGCTACTTTTGTAAATCAGGTCAGCTTCATCAAATTCAAAAAACCCATCAGGGACGCCACACTGCCATACCCTGTAGAACAATGAGATGAAAAGGACAATGAAAGACATATAATAATGAACGTAGGTTCAATGAAAAGGCGATTGAGCTTCAGAAAGCTCTGTAAAGGTTTTCTTTTCAAAAGGAGTTCTTCCTTGCTATTGTTGGGTGGCAACAGATGCTACAAAAGACCTTAGACCTTGTTTGTGTGGGAAAGAGTCGGACACGTGCTCCTTGCCTTCAGGTACCTCGTTGCGTGCGTTTGCATTTGGTCCGGCAGAATCTATCACCTCTGGTTATTTCTCAGAAGTGTATATACCTCACTCACATTGTTTAGATCGTGATGTGAACATTCCTTTGGCCTTATTAGGAAGCACCTGTAGACATGGATAGTTTAAGGTGTGTCTTATATATATATATATATTTTTTTTTTATCTGTTGTGGCAATGGTCCATGGAAAGTATTAGAATAAGGTTAAATGGCTGACAATTGTTATATTACACATGGTTTGCAGTGTCTTGGAGGAACTGAGGAACAAATGCGTCATTAGGAAGATTTCTTACTTACAGTAGCAGGGATTAAGTGGTAATGGTCTCCGGGAATTTAGATTAATGCTTAATAGCAAATGTACTCTCTAAGCTCTCCAAGCTCCCTCTATTTGTCCGTTTGTTTGTTGTTGTTTATGGGCAATTATTCTACTGGACTACCTTGCATTCCCAGGTTGCTTAATTGGCTCATCTTGAGAGCTGAAATTAAATTACAGTTTACATTTTTCATTGTATTCCTTCCAGTAAATGCATACTTTCTGGTAAAGTGAGTTCTAAAAGTTCAAATCAGTTCTTAAAAATCGGTAATCTAATATCAATTGTGTCCATAATCTCTTTCTGTTTTGACCAGCTATCACGCAAGGTTGCGCTTTTTCAAAACTGTTATTGTGACAAAGCAGACATTCAGGGCCACACAGTTGACCTGCACCAGTTCCATGTAACTAAAGAAAAAAGCAACACAGGAATGTAGGGAATTAACACACCGAAGACACAACGCAGACTCAGAGTTTACTTTGAACAAACAGTAATAGCAGCGTTATAGACTACTGCAGAGCCGCTCTGGCCCCACCCGTACCCGGAACATGTTATGTGATATAGCTGCTTGAAAAGAGGGAGTCATCACTAAATGTTTAAGCACTCCCAGTTTTTTGGTGTGTGTGTGTGGTGAGCTTACTCCAGTCAGTGGTTGATATGGCCCAGGGGGCTTGTTTTGTGGAATATCAAAGTGGCTTCTTAATGTTTAATGTCTGCCAGTGTATTTTGTATTACCCCATCTCCTTTTCAAAAGGAAAGGCTAATGACACACTGCACCATTGCCATATATTTGTAATTAGCTGAGCCGAATTCTGTGTGCAGAATTGCAACTA